TAATTTTACATTGAAAGCAGAGTTTACTCATTCAAACTAATATAAGTTTTCAAACTTAGCTTAAATTCATCACACATTCAATGTAAAATTATTTATCAATAGTCATTCATTTTTATTCATCGATTGACCTTTTTGTATATTATAAATATAATATATATTATATACATATAATTATTTGATAGAAACTTAATTATAAACAAACAATGATTTCCAATTCTTACTAACCGATGATATGAAGGCATCTGTCGGTGAAATAATGTGTTGTATAAGCTCCGGATGCGTTTGTGATGACATCCATGTTATGGCGGAAATCATAGCCACAACTAGGATGACCAGGATAATTTTAAAATATTTGAAAACATCGTTTACGTAATTCATTTTTATGAGGGGCTAAATCGTGGACAACCTACCTGACCCGGTCAGATGTGTCACAATTAGTATGATTGAAATAGAATTGCCTGTTAGTCCAATAACCCACGTGCGAGTCAAAGCCCCGGTATGTTGGCGTGTATTCACGGTTCATAAAACCTAAATGCCATTTGCCTTAACAAGTATAAAATAATTTAAACCTTTTTTTGCACATTTTGTTTCGTATATTATATTTATCATAGTAATTAAGATTACTATTGTATTCCTATAAATAAATATGCTTTATATATTATAGTAGTAATTAAATATTAACATTATTAAAATTGCTACCTTACCCACTATATGTGTGGCATAACTATATTGCTTTAGATATTGTGGTAATAATTTAAAGTGTAGGGGCAAACCAGTGGCCATAAAAGGCATTAGTACTTCATGTTGAAAGCCAATATGCATGGGATGTCTACCTGTGAGTAGGGCACCCCTACTCGGATTGCAAACGGGCTGTACGTAGAAATTGTTTAATACGACGCCATCGGCGGCCAATGTGTCGATGTTTGGGGTCAGGATGTGGTCGGAGTGGTAGCCCACGTCAGCCCATCCCATGTCGTCCGCCATAAATATGATGACATTTGGCGGCAATTGTTTTGCCACCGATTGTGT